AGAAACAAAAAATGGGGGAATGATAAGAACTGCCCCTTGCCACCATTCTGTAACCTGAGCTGCAGCTGGTCTAATCCCTTGCAGAACAAAGCCCACTGTCCCTTATCTCCTGCCACCTCCCTTTGCCTGCCCCTAGCCCTTGCTTCAGCAGCTGGTCTCATCCCTTACAGAACAAAGACCCACTGTCCCTTATCTCCTGCCACCTCCCTTTGCCTATCCCTAGCCCTTGCTTTCTCCCAAATGCTACTTAAGGCCAGACCCACCGAGAGAAGCTGCTGCGCCATTTTTTCTTGGCCAGCCAGCTTGCTTATCAAACTCTTGGACATGAGATACCTCTCATGAGCATCCTTTGTGTGTGATGTGTGGTGTTTTCCTAACAGGAAGCAAGTCAATAAACAAAATATAGCATATAAATAGAAACAAGGACAAAATTCACACAATCATATCAATAGAGGCAGAAGAGCCTTTGAAAAAAATTCAACATTCCTTCATAATAAAAGCCCTGAAAATATTAGGATTAGAAGGATCCTACCTCAACATAATAAAGGATATTCATGACAAACTTACAGTCAACATTTTACTGAATGGGGAAAAACTGAAAGCAGTTCCTATAAAAGGTAGAGTGTCTACTCTCTCCACTCTTCTTCAACACAGTTCTTGAATTCTTAGCTAAAGCAATTAAGAAAGAAAAAGAAATAAAACAGGAAATAGGAAAGGAAGAAGTCAAATTATCCCTATTTGGTGATGATATGATCCCATAGTTAAAAGACCATGAAGATTCCACCAGAAAGTAGTATCAGCAAAGCAGCAAAACACAAAATCAAAATACAAAACTGAGTAGTTTTTCTATTTACCATGCTGAGAAAGAAATCCCCAAAACATTCCCATTCACAGTAGTCTCAAAATAAAATAAAAAACAAACAAACAAAAACCAACATAGGAATAAATCTTACCAAGAAGGTGAAAGACATCTACCTCTACAGTGAAAACTATAAATCACTGAAGAAAGAAACTGAAGATACTACAAGATGGAAAGATCTCCCATGTTAATGGATTGGTAGAATTAATGTTAGTAAAATGGTCATATTACCAAAAGTGATTACAAAATCAGTATAGGTACCATCAAAATGCCAATGACATTCTTCACAGAACTAGAACAATAATCCTAAAATTCACTTCAAAGCACAAAAGATCCCAGAGAAATTCTGCGGAAAAAGAATTATGTAAAAGATATTACAATACCTGATTTCAAGTTATACTGCAGAGCCAAAGAAACAAAAACGGTATGGTACTGGCACAAAAAACAAACACGTACATTAATGGAATAGAATACAGGATCCAGAAATAAACCCACATAGCTTTTGTCTGATTCTCAACAAAGGTGCCACAAATGTATGTTGGAAAAAAAAAGGACAGCCTCTTTCACAAATGGAAAGCAGATATCCACATGTAAAAGATTGAAATTAGAGCCACATCTCTCACCTTGTACAAAAATCAACTCAATGTAATGTGTATCAAAGACCTTAATGTAACATTTGAAAGTACTAGAGAAAAGCATATGAAAAACAATTCAAGATGTAGGCATTAGACTCTAATACTTCAGGAAATAATAGCAAGAACTGATAAGTAGGATTGCTTTAAATTTAAAAGGTTCTGCACATCATAAGAAACAGTTACTACAATAAGACAGTCTGCAGAATGGGAGAAAATCTTTCCTAGTTACTCATCTGACAAGAGGTTAGTATTCAGAATATATGAAGAACTCAAAAAATTAAACACCAAAATAACAAATGCTCCAACTAACAAATAGGCAATTGAATAGACAGTTCTCAAAAGAATAAGTACAAATGTCCAACAAATATATGAAGGAATGTTCAACATCCTTAATCATAAAGGAAGTACAAATAAAAATGACATTGAGACTCCATCTTAACCCAGTCAGAATGTCTACTTATCAAGAAAATGAACAACAAATGCTGAGCAGGATGCATGGAAAATATGAACCCTTCTAACACTGTTGTTGGGAATGTAAGTTAGTTAGTATGGTAATTAATATGGTAGTTGTAAAAATAGAATGGTCTGGCTATGCCATTCAAGTATATTCTCAAAAGAATGTAAGTCACAACACAATAGAGGTATCTGTACATCTGTTCACAACAGCCAAGTAATAGAATAAGCCTAAGTGCCCATAAATGAATGAATAAAGAAAATGTCACAAAGAAGAACAAAATTATGTCATTTGCAGGAAAATGGATGGAACTGAAGATCATAATATCAGATGAAATAAGCCAGACTTAGAGAAACACTGCATGTGTTCATTTATATGCAAAATCTACATTAAAATAAAGGTAGAAAAGTAGAAGGAGGACTATTTGGAAAGAAGGAGGGGAGTGGGGGAGAGGAGACGAGAGGGGAATGGGCACAGGGAAGAATATGATCATTATATACATATATATACATATTATATACATGTATGAAAAGTTATAATGAAACCCATTAGTTTGTATAACTAATATATGCTATTAAAAAAGAAAGGGAAAAAAGTATTTGAACTACTAAAAATAGTAAATCAAATATTTTTAAATCAAGGCATTCCCAGATAATCAGAAACTGAAAAAATTCTTTGTTAGTAGATATACCCAGGAAGAAACTAAAGGGACTCCATTAGGCTAAAAGGTAGGGACACTTGATAGGAACTCTAATCTAAATGAAGAAATCAAGTACTGGCAAAGGTAATTACAAAGGTGAGTGTAAGATGATGTAAGTGTATTTTAAATACCTCTCTTATTCTCATGTCTGGTATAAAACAAATTATATAACATGTTCTTGAGCTTATAATGTATAAAGATGTCATCTGCATCACAATAATAGCACAAAGGTGTGAGGAGGTGACAAACTACATTGGTATAAAGTTTCTGTGCGTCACTAAAATTAAGTTGGTATTAACCTGAACTACACTGCTTTAACATTAAATGTTAACTGTAGTCTCCAGGCCATCACTAAGAAAGTAGCTCGAAAATATAGTAAAAGAAATAACAACGAAAATAAATCATATTCTAGAAGATATATTTTTCAACACAAAAGGAGGCAGTAATGAAGGAAGAGAGGAATAAAAAGACCTAAGACATATCAGAAAGCAAATAGCAAAATTTGTTTTGTTATTTGGAAGAGACAAATTCCATCTAATTAGTAATTACATTAAATATAAATTAAAGGCTCCAAAAAGTAAACAATCAAAAGGCACAGATTGGAAGAATGGATTATGAAAAACATGATCTAACTATGTGAAGTGTATAAGGGACATACTTTAGGTTTAAAGTTACAGTTTGGAGGAATGAAATTCCGTAGTCAAAGGTGGGTGGGGGAGGCAAAAGAGTAGCTACGGGGTAACAAGGCAGTACTTGCTCCTCTGTCTTTATCCATTATCTACCTCCTTTGTCTTTCCTTATTTTTATGTCCCTATGCTGGAGAACACAAATGTAGGCCCGCAATACTGTTAACACCGTGTGACAGCCTTACATTCTGAGAAATGGGTTGCTAGGCAATTTCACCATTGTGCAAACATTATGGAGTGTACTTACAGAAACTCAGATGGTACAGGTGGATCACTCAACATGGTCTCTTGATGCAGTCAAGAGATGTGGTAAACATGAGATTTATGAGACTGCTGCTGGCCTAACACAGCATACTGCTTTAAATAGTAAGTGTTTTAAATAAGTAGAAAGAGTATGCTCTAAAGTAATGATAAAAATATACTATAGTACACATGATTGAGGGTTGGGTCTTTGAGCCAGCCTGATCTCCAGAGATCAGGGAGAGGCTGTAGACTGCTCTGTGATTTAACCAATGATACCTACATAATGAAGTCCCCCAAAAAAACTCCAAAAAAATTTACAAATTGAACAGAAAACAAACAAAAAGGTAGAAGGAAATTAAGGAAAATCTAGAAAGATTGTGGCAAATGTAGGGGAAATGTAAGAATTAGACACTGGGGGGAGAAGAAGGGGGTGGGGAGCAGGAGGAAGAAGAAGGGAGTCAGGGGGCAGGGGGGAGAAATGGCCCAAACATGTATGCACATATGAATAAATGAATAAAAAAAATTAAAAATAAATAAAGAATTAGACATTTGAAAAAAAAACAACACACTAAAGTGCAGTGGAGACTGCTGGTTAGTGGATACACCAATGTGCAGGAGAGAGACAGGTCCTGAATTCTTGGGGAAAGAGCACAGAGACTTAGCATTCAGGACCCTCCCAGCACTTACCTATCTTTTCATTTGGCTGCTCCTGATCTGTGTCCTTTATAATACAATTGTAATAGTAAGTGAAGTATCTTCTTGAATTCTGAGTCATTCTAATGAATTATTAAACCAATTAAACCAATGGAAATTATCAATGGTAACTTCTGACTTTGTAACCAGCTGATCAAAGCTCAAGTGGCATGGGAACCCCCTAAACTTACGGTTGGTGTCTAAAGTGGAGACAGTCGTGTTGGTGACTGTGCCCTTTAACCTGTAGAGTCTGAAGTTAACTCCTGGTGACTAGTGCCAGAATTGAACTGTAGTACATCATTTGGTTTTGGACCAATTGTGGTTGGTGACACAACTAACAATTCTCTAACTTCTTTTTTAGGACTTTATCATTTTTAATATTCAAAAGTGAAAAACCAAAAATTGCCAAAGATTTAGAGCTAAAAAGTTAGTACAGGCAAGTGCATCTGCAGTAGTTTGTTGCATATGGTCTTGCCTGCCAGCCAGTTTTAAAAGGCCTACAGTATTAAGTATAAATCTATTTTTTGGCATTTTAGAAGATTTATTCTCCTGCCCTGCTTAGAGCAACCAGTCCATCTTTGACGTTAGGCATAAAAAAAAAAAGCATTGTTGATACAGGAGAGGGTCTGAGGGCAATACACAGAACTTAATTTATATAACTAACAGTTATGGATATTTAATGGCTTCCCAGATTAAAAACAGTAACACTTAAAGTTGCATGATAGCAAACCTGTTTCCGAGGAATTCCTCACTGCAAAACATACAAATGCCATGAAAATTGGTATCATTTCGTTCTAGTTGCTGTTGTTCCAGAATTTCTTTCTGTAAAGTATAAACAGATTTATGATATTATTTTTAATAAGTGCACAGTTAGTGAATGAAAAATGTCAGCCTGAAAGGAAGGAAAAGGAGGTGGAAGCACAAGGGAGTATATAAAAGTTGCTAATACTTCAAATTTTTCCATTCATGTCTTTGCAGTAAAACTCCAAGTCTGCACTATTAAGTGCCTATAGATCACTCCAGTTATATAGCTATGTAGATAGTCAACAAGGTAAGGCCTTACCATCTTTTCTTCTCTTTTTGTCAGTCATATTTTATCCTCATCTGCTTCTAAAACCATAATGTGGTGAGTTCTTAACTTGCTCCTATCCTTAAATCTCAGTTTAGTTTGTAATCAAGTTCTGATCAGTTTTCACTCAAAGTATCTTTCATATTACTTTTCTAAACCATCTCTAATGTCATCACCCTGAGTCCAGTTTTTATTCAGTTATGGGATTACTATAAGTAAGTCTTTTAGAGATTATAAATCCTTCTTCTATCATACCCACTTTCTTTTTTGCTGCTAGAAAAACTTTCATTAGACATTGTTTTCATGTGATTACCTTGCTATACTTCAACTCAAATAATTTATTTTATTTTATTTTTTTTCATTTTTCTTTTATTATTCATATGTGCATACAAGGATTGGTTCATTTCTCCCCACTGCCCCCACCCCCTCCCTTACCACCCATTCTGCCCCCTCCCTCTCCCCCCCCAATACCCAGCAGAAACTATTTTGCCCATATTTCTAATTTTGTTGTAGAGAGAGTATAAGCAATAATAGGAAGGAACAAGGGGTTTTGCTGGTTGAGATAAGGATAGCTATACAGGGCATTGACTCACATTGATTTCCTGTGTGTGGGTGTTACCTTCTAGGTTAATTCTTTTTGATCTAACCTTTTCTCTAGTACCTGTTCCCCTTTTCCTATTGGCCTCAGTTGCTTTAAGGTATCTGCTTTAGTTTCTCTGCATTAAGGGCAACAAATGCTAGCTAGTTTTTTAGGTGTCTTACCTATCCTCATCCCTCCCTTGTGTGCTCTCGCTTTTATCATGTGCTCAACTCAAATAATTTAAAATATGCTTTGGTTATGTCCTGCTCTAATCAGAGTGGTCTTTCTTTGAGGTCATTCTGTTTCCCTTTGCTTTTTCATTCTTATATATCTTTACCTGTTCATCAAGGTCTAATTTAATTCCTACTTCTGAACACAGCACAACAGTTAACTCACTGAAACACTGTGTTTCCAGATTTGAAATCTGGCTCTCATTTACAGTGGTATTTTATTTAACCTCTGTAATTTCTAGTTTCCTCATTTTTAAGATAAAAATAAAATGCTATCTCTTGGGCCAGTCATGGTGATACATGCCTGTAATTTCAGCACTTGAGAGCCTAAGGCAAGAGAATCATGAATTGGAGGCCAGTTTGGGTCACACTGCAGGACTCTGTTTCAAACAAACAAACAAAAAAGAAAACAAAATACACAAAAATACTACCTCACAGCACTGTTGCCAAAATTAAATCATATAATTTATGTAAAGAGCTGAAGTTGTACAATGGTTCACTAAGTAGTAGGTATTACTGTTATCCAGCCCACATCAATTCTTGTTGCCTATTACCCATTATCTCTGGTAATTATTGCCTGTTTTGTCTTCTGTACGGAAATGGAAAATCTTTGAAGTTAAAAAAAAGTCCCTATGGTGTTTTTATATTACATCTGTAAACTTCTTTCTAGTTTCTTTTATAACATGGATCTCAAAATAGGCACTTCATAAAACTTACTGTTGATCCTTTAAATATTTATAGAATAGCATAAAAATGAGCTAGCATCTAGAATATTAAGTTATACTATGTGGCATTTCTGGAAATGTATCACTAAACACCTACAAATATTACTCCATTTGAGACAAAAATTAAGAAGCTATCTTGATGAAAATCAATTCAATGAGCTTCTGGTTTCTGCCATGAGGCAATAATGGATATCAGACTTACCCTTCCACAGTAAAGTATTATAAAACAAATTACTCTATATATTTTATGTTTTTAGGTATGGGATCACAGCACAGGTTGTGATTCTTGAAAGAAAAAAAGTAACACATTATCAATTTTCGGTTATGATTTTCCAAACTGCAGCACAGGGAAGTTGTCCGGAAGAAAAAAAAATGGAGTTCAAGATGATAATGTGTACGGGATTTGTGGTACAATGAGCTAGAAAAAAGAGAACTATAGAGAAGGAGCCCAAGAAACATGGCCACTACTAAGCTACATATATACAGGGCAGATAGAGGAGTTTCTGAGGGCCATGAAGCTTAACTGAGATGCTAGCAGTAGCACTAGAATATACTAGAGTTCAGACAAGGAGAATGGAAAGCCTGGGTTCAATACTTTAGGCACAGAGCAAATATAAAAACACTTTTTAGAGTCAGGTGCCAGTGGTTCACGCCTACAATCCTAGCTATGTAGGAGGCTGAGATTGGGAGGTTCAGAGTTTGAAGCCAGCCCAGGCAAACAGTTCACCCTATCTCCAAAATAACCAGAGCAAAATGGACTGGAGGTGTGGCTCAAGCAGTAGAGTGCCTGCTTTGCAAGCGTGAAGCCCTGAGTTCAAATCCCAGTCCCACCCCCAAAAAAAACCCTGCACTTTTTCGTTCATGAAGGTTAGGATTTTATGCTGGTAGTAAGTACAGAGAAATAAATGGGGTAAGTCTAATAATGTCAGAAAATTTTAATAATTATCTTTTTCTTCATTTAGGTGAATCTTATATAAACTAAAATTGACAGTAAAAGTCAAAGAAAAGAGTTACTGGAAAGAGAAAACTGAAGTTTTACATAGTCTGATTATAAAATAAGTACTACATTGGCAACAGAATTAGCAGCAAAACCAAAACTCAGCAGATAAAGTTCTTGATAATGAAAACTATTATGATCTTATAATATGATTCAGCATGCATTTTTCTGCCTGTTCCTGTTTTCAGCCCACAAAACTTCTAACTCATGTAATTAACATTCTGGCTCATATTTCTCAAGCTCATGATGATCTAACCCCAATTTTGTCCAAAGAAAAATCTGACTTAGCTTAACATTTTCTTTTAACACAAATATAAAGGACTGAGTGTCCTGCCCCCTCCCCTACTAAGGATTGCACTCAGGGTCTCCTGCTTGAGCCATGCCCCCAGTTCCCACACATGATTTCTAAAATACTCCCAATGTTTTTCACATTATAACTTTAAGAAGTAATTGAACTGTTCTACATGATACAGAGTCCTTGCTAGGAACAATTACTATCATACTGCATTGTAATGCAAACATGTTTTACTTGAAGGATCTTTTTGCCCTCACACATGAATCTAAACCACTGTACTCTCTGTTTGACTTTATTCTCTCCATTTACGGTCATTTATGCTTATTTCCTTTCATTCGTGGAAGCTTTTCATCACTGTTAGTGGATTTATTTAAGCTCCCAACTACTGGTTGCAGTTAGTGGTTTTGGTTCTGCACCCATCTACATCTTATTTCCATTTGCTATCCTTGGTTAGACTGCTCTTCCTTTTAACCTACAAGAAAACTATAGAGCCTCCCAAGCCAAGCTAAAAGAAAAAAATTAAATTCTAAACATAAAATTGTCAAATATTTTTGGTACCCGAGAAAGAGGAGGTCCTCTTCTTTGGCAGATAATGCAATTCTAACAGGAATGCTTAATCTTTTATTTCTGGGCTCTTTGCTATTTAGATCTGCTGAGGTTATGAGATACCACACACATAGGAAAGACTCTGCCCATATGTACATTTAAAAAGTATGATTATTTGATATATGCAGATAGAAGAAAAAATCTGATTTTAAATGGACCTTTAAAAATTAGCGTATAGACTGGTGCAGTGCCTTAAGCCTCCTTAAGCACTCAGGAGGAAGAGATTAGGAGGATCATGGTTCCAGGCCAGCCTGGGCAAAAAGTTCGGAAACCCCATCTCAACCAATAGTTTGCCATGGGGTATGTACTTGTTATCCCCAGCTATACTGGGGAAGCACAAATTGGAGGATTGCAGTTCAGCCAGCCCAGGCATAAAGCAAGACCCTATCCCAAAACAAACAAAAACCCTATCAATGCAAAAAGGGGTGACAGTGTGACTTAAGCAGTAGCCTGCCTCTGCTTAGTAAGTGCCAGGCCCTGAGTTCAACCCTCAGTACTGCCAAAAAAAAAAAAAAATTACTCTATAAATCTGTAACAAGTAGACTCTATCAGAAAATGAAACAACTAGAACTGGTACTCACTGAAACCTTAAGTGACATAGTAATGGCTCCCTGTTTTATACTGAATAAAACCCACAATTTTTAGCACAGTGTTCACAATGTTCTATACTGGATTCTAACATGGGTTTTCAAAAGCTTTCTCTCATATTGCCTTCCCATGTAACTCTAAGTTATAGATAAAGCAAGAACACAAAGCATGTGTACTCTTATCAACAGAAATTCTAAACTACCTGTTACGATTTGTTAAGCCAATAAATAGCCTGAAGTCCTTGCTTTAACTTTTTCCCACTGGAGTCCTCTACCGCTATCCTTCAATACTTAGTCTCAATGTTACGTCTCTGTGGTGAGTAAAAAGAAAACTCCATGGGTAGTTAGGAGCTCTGTATTCTTCTAATTTTAACTAGTATTACAGGTGACCTTGGGTATAATTCTTCTTCATAACTCAGTTTTTGGAAATCTTTAAATTGCCTGTGAAACACTACAAATCATTAAAGTGACTGTCCCAGAACACTTTTGTACTAGACGTGGTACTTGTTTTTACCAGTTTATGGCATTCAGCTGGTATCTACATTGCTGGGTGATCAGGAAAACTGTGTCCTAACAATTTCTGGTAATGGAAAATGAGCTCCTTTATGTTCTGGGCAGTTTTTTATAGTATATTCTGAGTAAATACTTGACAACTAAATTTATATCCCTGGTGTGACAATATACATTCTACAAATCTGAATGTTCTCAGAGGAGAAGGTTTATAACACACTTG